ACCCACTCATGACCTCAGCATACTCCTCTAAGTTCCCTGAGCCTCGGCAGCCCATCTTTCCACTTTGGAGAATGGATTGTGGGTTTCTACCTGTGCCCTCCTCTGGAAAGTCCTCAATTCAATGGACTCAGGACTTTGGGAGAGGCCAGAAAAGGCTCTGGGGAGATTGTGAACAGAATCCACTTGGGTGCAGTCCACATAGAGCTCTACAGAGCCAGCCCCTCGCTGTAAATTGCTCAGTCTCAGGAGGACCCTGTGCCGCTTGCCGTCAGCCAGATGCAGGTTGTTGAAAACCACCAAATGGATCTTCCCATCATTCTTCAAGTAACGGAGGATGGCTGGAAACAAGCATAGACAAATAATGAGAGAAGGGAGACAGGGTGGTTCTATGCTGAACAGCCTGTAGGTCACGAGGTTGGGTCACTGGAAAGAATGCAAGCAAGTTGGAATCATCAATATTCATCATCTCATGTGCCAGGCATTGTTCTCAGCACTGGAAACCCACTCTGTTGCTGAGAATGTTTATGTTCATGGAGAGACAGACAATAAGTAGCAAATCTGAAAATGAATGATATAATTTCAGATAATGATAAGTACAATGAGCAAACAGAACCTATGAAAAGTCAACTAAAATTCAAGCAAGCTCTTGAGGGCATGAATTCATTAATTCAACAAACCTTTACTGAGCACTAGTATGGGGCTGGGTGCCGCCCTCAGATGCTTTAAACACTTAATTTCTACTCATTGCATCCCTGCAAAACTGGAATACTTATAGATGCGCAAAGTGAAGCTTAGATAAATGAAGGAACATCTTCAAGGACGTAGTAAGTGGCAGGACTAGAATCTGAAACTGAGTGTGGTTTATTCCATGACTAAAAGAATGCCAGGCATGGATAGGCCTTTGTAAGCATATGGTGAATTGAATGTAATCTGTCATACTGCCCCTCAGCAACCCATCTTCAAATTGAACAATGCTCAGTTAGAAAATCAAAGGTATCCATAGTTGCAAAAGAAAGACTAGGAAAGAGAGCCACTACCTTATTTATTTATTTTAATACAGGTAGCTATCCATTCACATATCCTAAGCTCATTAAATCAAAATTCATGAAAAATTTAAAACTCTGGTTTTCTGCCTTGCTTTTTACTGTATTATTGTTCTGAATGTATGGAGCCCTGAGCTAAATCTGCTCCTGGATGCTGAACCTTTGTGAGTGAATCTCATTGAGTGAAGTTTGCTATAAAGACTAAAGCGATTTGCTTCCAAGGGCTTAGTGAGTCTACCAAGAATATGTCCAGTTCTATCCACAGGTATCACTGCCAAATCCAAGTTCATCACCAGAAACAATCCTAGGAACAAGGTTGAAGGCTGAGTGCAATTGTTGCTGGATAACTGATGAAGCAAACACATAATTGCAGCTCCAAAGATCTGAGTTAGCTACGCTGGGGTGGGGTAGTCTTAAATTGGTAGCACTTTTCTGGAGAGCAATTTAGTGATGTGCATCAAAACTTTAAACATGTACAGATATTATGGCCCTGCAATGCCACTTCTAGGAAGTGAACTCATAAAAAAAAAAAGAAAAAAGAAAAAAGAAAATCCAAAACGTGTGATAAGAACATTCATTTCAGAAATATTATAACAAATATTTGGTATAACATGTGCATCTAAAAAGAGATGGAGGGCTGGCTACTTAAATCATGCTATAATCATAAAATGGAATACTATGTAATTGTTGTATATTAAAAACACAAAAAGAGAGAGATGTCAGCATCATGTGAAAACCTCTTGGTGTCTTCCCTTAAAGTTATACCGAGTTGGATACAGAGGATTCAGCAAAGGATTCTCTGAACATATGAATGTGTCTGAGAGACCCAAACATTGAAATGTCTGAAAGTGGGTGTATTAGAGCAAGCTAGGGAGGCAGGATGAGGAAAGTCAGAGACAAGAGCTGCAGATGCAGTCTAGTACCCACTGTGGCCCCAGTAGCAATGGAGAATCAGGTTGCCAACCCCACTCAGCAGAACAGAGTCTGGTACACACTGAGGTTGAGCCCAGGGGTGGAGAAGTGGTACAAATGCTGGTGGCTGCTGTTGAGCAGCCGCCATCACCAGAGGGAAAAAAAACAAAGCTGCAGACACATGCATCTGTGCCCACCTCACCCTCCCGTAGCCTGCCCAGCTCCAGCAGACCAGGCAGCAGAGGAGTCAGTTTGTAAGGGGCAGAAGCAGCATTCCAGACAGAGTGGCCTGTACTCATTGCAGCAAAAGTCAGTGGAAAAAACAAAGCTGCAGATGCTTGAACCTGCCTCTCACTGACTGCCCCTCTTCCATCTACCACAGTGGAACTCAACAGAGGCAGCTGGGATATCTCAGATAGTGAAGTATGGCTATCTGCAGGTGGCTTCTGGTTGCAGGTAAGCAGTGCAGGGAACTCACAGGCTTAGAACCCCAATGCCTGATACACTCCACAATGGGAATGGTGCCCTAAGACTGAGGCAACTCTGTCAGAGAGGGGATGTCCACCTCCTTGGGGAATATGGGACATTTTCCACAGCCAAGAAACACATCCCCACAGAGATCCTGGAAGTCCCAGTAGTGCAGTTAAGAGGAAACAAAAATTGCACTTCAGCACCACCTCCTGGAAAACAGAAGAAAGAGTGCTACTTATCAACCCACTAAACAGTTAAAGGTGAGTACCAAAAAAAAAAAAAAAAAAAGATTTCAATCCCTCAAATGCCTAGGTAGAGGAATAAGCCATTAAGTACCATGAACAACCATTCTCAAGACAGATAAAAGAAAATTCTAATCTATAAAGCAGTGGTTCCCAACCTTTTTGACACCAGGGATTGGTGCTCCTGTGAGAATCTAATGCCTGATGATCTGAGGTGGAGCTGAGGTGGTGATGCTAGTGCTGGGGAGCCGCTGCAAATACAGATGAAGCTTCGTTCGTTCACCCACCACTCACCTCCTGCTGTGTGGCCTGGTTCCTCACAGGCCATGGACCGGTACTGGTCTGCGGCCCAGGGGTTGGGGACCCCTGTTATAGAGGAAACCCCATTAAATTATCATTAAATTTTTCTGCAGAAACCCTACAAGCTAGAAGAGAGTAGAATCAAATATTTAAAGTATTGAAAGAGAGAAATCACCAGCCAAGAACAATATATCCAGCAAAGTTATCCTTTAGATATGAAGGATACATAAAGGCTTTCCAGACCAACAAAAGCTGAAGAAATTTACCACCACAAGACCTGCATTACAAGAAATGTTGAAAGGACCCATTCTACCTGAAACAAAAAGACAAAAGGATATAAAAGTGTAAGCTGACGGACAGACAGACAGAAGCAGGAAATTGTAACTCTTATTCAGAATAGGGTATTAAACACTTAAACATAAAAGTTAAAGAGAATAAAAGCATTAAAAAAAACTACAGCTTCTGCAATTTGGAAATGAACACATAGCATACAAAGGGATAGTTTGTGACAACAAAAACAAAAAAGGTTGGGGAGAATGACTGAATTTGCACAAGTTAATGGAGATAAGATAAAATCAGAAGAAAAAGGACTATTATACATATCAACTTTTTTTTTTTGCACAATCCTAATGCTAACCACAAAACAAAAATCTAGAACTAAGACGGGTAACATAAAAAGAGGAAATGGAGAAAAAGAATGCCACCAAACTAAAATAGCAAACAGAAACACAAAGGAAAAAACAATGAAGATGCACAGCAATCAGAAAACAAAAGATAAAATGGCTATAGGAAGTTCCTGTATATAAATAATCATCCTAAATGTAAATAGACTGAGCCCACCAGTTAAAAGACACATAGTAGTGAGATGGATTAGAATACTGTATGTTGCCTTCAGGAGACACATCTCAACTACGAAGACAAACAGACTCAAAGTGAAGGGGCAGAAAATGATACTCCAAGCAAATGGCATCCAGAGAAAAGCAGGTGTAGCCGTACTTACATCAGACAAAATAGATTTCAAGATAAAAAAAGTAATGAGAGACAAAGATGAACATTTTATAATGATAAGGGGGATAATATATCAAGAAGACACAATACTGCTCAATATATATGCATCTACCTTGAGAGCACCAAAATATATAAATCAATTACTTATAGAACTAAAGGGGGAAACTGACAAAAACACAATTATAGTAGGGGATCTAAATACTCCATCGAGAGCAATGAACAGATCTTCCAAATAGAAAAGTAATAAGGAAATATTGGCCTTAAATGAAACATGAGGTCAAATGGACATAATAAGTATATACAGAGCTTTTTATCCCAAAACAACAGATTATACATTCTAGTGCACATGGAACATTCTCAAGGATAGGCCATATATCAAGGCACAAAACTAGTCTCAATAATTTAAGAAGAGTGAAATCATACCAAGCATATTCTCTGACTACAATGGTATGGAACTGGAAATTAACTTCAAAAAGAAGATGGAGATTAAACAACATGCTACTGAACAACTACTAGATCAAAGAAGAAACAAAAGAAGAGGTCAAAAGACACATAGAGACAAATGAGAATGGCAATACGATATATTAAAATGTGGGGGATGCAGCCAAAGTTGTACTAAGAAGGAAATTTATAGTCGTACATCAAGAAACAAACAAACAAAAAACTCCTCAAATAAACAATCTAACATTTCACTTTAAAGGACTAGATAAAGAATAACAAATGAAGCCAAAAGTCAGTAGAAGGAAATAAAAATTAGAGCAGAATTAAACAAAATAGAAAACAAGACAATAGACAGCAATTAATGCAAAGAGTTGGTTCTTTGAAATGATAAATAAAATTGACAAACCTCTCACTGAGGGAAAAAGACAAAAGACTCAAATAAAATCAGCAATGAAAGAGAAGTTACAACCTACAGCCACACCACCCTGAACATGCCTGATCTCATCTGAAAGAGAAATTACAAAGGACACCACAGAAATATAAGGATTATGCAAGAATATTATGAGGCTACCTGCCACAAAATGATACCCTAGAAGACATGGACAAATTCTTAGAAATATATAATCCTCCTAGACTGAACCATGAAAATTCGAAAAACCTAAACACAGGAACAATAATAAAATTGAAAAAGTTATCAAAAACCTGACCAAAATCAAAAGTCCAGGACCAGATAACTTCACTAGCAAATTCTATCAAACATTCAAAGATTTAATACCTATTCTTCTCAAACTCTTCCAAAAAAATTGAAAGGGAATATTGCCTAACTCATTTTGAGGCCAACATTACCCTGACAGAAAAATCAGGCAAGGACAACACAATAAAAGAAAATTATAGGCCAATATCTGATGAACATAAATGCAA